ATATTAATTAATCTACGAATCGTATCATAATTAACATATCCTAACCTACCATGCCACACATCAGATGACTCAATCATATAAGTAGAAGAAGCATTAGCTTTATTATTATTATTAATAGCTTTGGGTAGAACAATCATTACATTGAACTTGAATAGTCCATTACTTAGATACTCTTTGCCCACATACACCCCATTCTTAGTCAACACAAACTTGTTAGATACAAAGACCAGCTTGAACCCATTCTTGCTTAGGAGCGACCCAGAGACCAAGTTCTTCCTGATGTATGGTATATGCAACACATTATTAAGAGTGAGCTCTTTTCCTGAGGTCATTAGTAGCTTAATCTTTCCTTATCCTTCAACCTTTTCAGTAGAAGAGTTTCCCATGTAGAGTTGTTCTTCATTATTTATAACTTCATAGGTAGTGAACATTCTCTTTTTTGAGTAAATATGACGAATAGCTCCTATGTCCACCCACCATTCTTTATTGTTACTCGCAAGGTTGATTTCAGAAACCACAGTTGAAAGATTTAGCTCTGAAACATCAGCTATGAGCTTATCTTCCTCGGCAATGTGCATCTCAGTAGTCTTTTTTTTGGGGTTATATTGTGCTTTGCGGCTACAACAATCTTTAGTTCGGTGTCCTAGCTTGCCGCATATGAAGTACTTCCCTATGTACCTCTTATAGTTTCCTTGGCTAGGACCTTCTCTAGAGTACTTCCTCTTCTTATTCTTCTGTCCAACTTCCACTACATTCGTTTTTGACACCATTGAAGAATTCCCGGCTTTCTTTTCAGATGTGCGGTTATCTTCTTCAATTTTTAGTTTGACAATCAGGTCTTCGATCCCCATTTCCTTGCGCTTATGCTTCAAGTAGTTTTTAAAATCTTTTCAAGTAAGTGGCAGCTTTTCAATGATTGAAGCTACTTGAAAGAATTCACTCAAAGTCATCTTCTCAGCAAGTATCTCATGTAAGGTCAGCTGGAGCTCCTGCACTTGGCTCATGACTGTCTTGGAGTCTATCATTTTGAAGTTCAGAAATCATCCGACCACGAACTTATTCAAGCCAACATCCTCTATTTTATACTTATTGTCTAGTAACTCCCAGAACTCTTTAGCAGTATTTATTGGATTATACACATTATATAAAGTGTTGTCCAATCCATTGAGGATATAGTTCTTGCATAGAAAGTCTCCATGCTTTCATGCATCAACAGTTCCTAGCTTGGTAATGTCAGTTTCACCATCATCTAGCACTCGGCAGTCTCAATTACGTACTTGCTTAGATTCAGAGTTGTAAGGTAGAACATCATTTTCTATTGTCACCTTTTAAACTCCGCCCCATTAAATTTTTTAGGCTTCTCCCCATGACTGACGACAACATTGGGCATAGTAGTACTTGTACTTGCCATTCGTCTCAAATTTACAGAAATAAAATAACAACAATATTTAAATAATTAAACTATAGTATAAGCGAATCTATCTTAAGATTGTAATCCAAAAATATGGTCTAATTATACTATATACTATAGTATTATTTATTTAAATATTATGTTTAAACTATAATGTATGTATATATAATTATTATTATAAAATAATAATCTATATATATATAATTTCTTATAATATATAGTTTAATATAATCAAATAAAAACTATAAAATAAATGAATCTGATTAAAAGTCAAGGTTATAATTTGATTCTATGTCCTTAAGACAGATTTGCCCTGCTATGGTGCTAACGGATTCAGTGGCGTCTATCTCTCAGAATATAACGCATTGTCTTCCTTAAGTAGTAGCACTGCAAACCAAAGGAATAAACGAACCAGCTCGATGTAGTACTCTCTGACTCGAACTCGGACTCGGAGTCAGTGACTGAGGCTCAAACCCAAATACTAGGGCTCAAACTCCCAAACTAAAGAGAGAATGAGGAAGAAGAAAAATCAGAAGAATAGAAGAATTCTCTGAATTTTGGTGTGATTTGCAAATGATCTAAATGGGAGTATTTATAGGTAGAAAGGTGCATTTTCGGGTGGGTGCAACCATGGGTTATGATGGTTCGCAAAAGGTGCAACCCTTTGGAAAAAAACAAAAAAGTGGTTTTTAATTTAAATTCAAAAAACCAACCACACATTTAAATAAGCCCAACCCAAACACAAGCCAATTCAAAATTTCATTTAGTAAAAAGAATAACCGGACTTTACAATTAAGTCTAAGTCCAAGCCCAACCTTGACTTATTTAAACTTAAATTGGTTTCAACATTTTTTCCATTTAGGCTTATCAAACATCTCACTTTGGATCTAATTTTTCATTCACCCGGAAACGAATTTGAGAAAGTAAATAAACCGCGTTCATCTCCTTGCGGAGAGGAACGCGCTCGTCTATAGATTTGCAAAAAATTCTTAACGGAATCTATTGAAAATCTCATCCAAAGTTAATGTTTTTAATGCTCCCGTTGAACATGCCTCGTATTATATGACCACTACCTTTAAATCTACAGTCAAGGATTGTGATTGGTGATAGTTTGATCAATAGAAAAATGTTATTTTTGGGATTTATGTAAGGGTTTTACTGCTATTTATTTATTTATTTATTTTAAACTATGGAAGAAGAGGCTCCGAAGCCATTAACTCCAAAGGTTCAGTGAGCACTAAACAAGAGTACCCATCAAATAACTCAAATGTAAAAATGACAGTAGGTCAATTTTGCTCACCCGTATACATTAGAATGGTCTTGATTCATGTCTCATAGAACTCATGGGTATAATCTTTTTGAAGAATTCAAGTCTCTTTGGTCATATTTATGTCAGTTTTAGCTCGCAATTACAGATTTCTTATAAATTTGATGATATAATCTTAATAGCCTTTTCATGTCTCCAAAGCATGCCCCCTATTATCTGACCACTGCATTTTGAGCCTTTTCTATATATGATATGTCCAACAGAAGCATAACCTTCAACCTACTAAAATCTGCAGATACATTTAATTGATTTTTTTTGAGGCAGAGACACAGAAATATAGAGGTATATATTAATTTCTCATAAATTTAATCTTTTCTAAAGTTTTTTACTAAATTCTTACCATTCTTATCATATTCCTCTTTCAATCATGTGAAATTCTTAGTATTACTTTTATTTTCCCTTTAATTAAGATGATATAATTTACTTTAACAAAACTCAAATTTGTAAAGCTACCATTATTTTTTCCCTTGGTGATATTGCTTTTTATCTTGAAGATTGAACTGTTGGAGGAAATGGATCCAGTGACTGTTTCTCTAAATTGGAAACTGGCCTCTTTGCCAAAGCAAATAGAAATGATATTTCCTGGAATTGAGTAAACAAAGACCCTTTATGAACCCAAGTTTGTGTCTATTGGTGCAACCTATAGAGGTTAAGAAAGGCTGTAATGTATGGAAGACATTAAACTATACGAGAGAACTCCACTGGAAAAATCAGTATAGTGTTGATAGATATGTGAGGGGATGAGACTTGAAAGCATTCCTAAACGGTTTAAGGGCTGTCTAGATGATGATAAATGCACAGACATGTTGGTGGTTGATGGTTGTTTCTTATTGAGTTGTTTAGATATATATTGGAACTTTAACACTCTCTTGACAAACATTTTGAATGGACACGAAGACTTGTGCTACTACATTACAATGTTTTCTTGCTTTGTGATCAACAAAATACACCTCACCCCATTATATATATGCCTTAAACTTCACCATGGACGGTAGTCTCAACAATCCAATGGTTTGGATCAATAATTCTTTGAAAATTTTCTAGAATTTTACAACTATTCTCAATCTCAACTATTCTAAAATAGTCTACGTATAAATAATGTATATTACATGATTCCCTAGAATTGTAGAGAGCAATATAGAGTCTATATGATAGACTATCCATGTAGTCGTTAAAGGTGTTCCTGACATCTGCATAACAAAACCATTTGATATTGCAAAGCCTTCTAATTGTGAGGGGATTATATCAGTTAAATTTAGAAACTAAATTGCTAAATTGGTGCATTATTTTTTAAAATTTTCAACGGTGCACTATTATCAACTGGGGCATTATTTTTAAATTTTTTTTTTTTTGCCTGAATGGCTATTTTATTGAATAAAACAGAAATTAATCTTTATTATTATTATTATTATTATTTTACAAATTTATAATTATTATTATTATTGATAATTAAGCTCAAACAACATCAAGTTCATGTAAGCATGACAAGAAAACAGGGGGAAAAAAATGAGAACATGAAAAAAGAAACAGAAAGAGAGAAACACTAGACATACAATTGTATAAATAATTACAAGCACAACAAAAACAAAATTGCATGCAGAAAATATACGAAGCAAGCACTGGGAACTGAGATAAAGGAGTACTTCGAGAAGCATTCAGAATTTTTCGCAAGAAATCTGGAATATGAGACTGAAAAAAAAAATCATATAAATCACAGCCAAACAAACAGACATCAAATATGCCAAAAATGTACGGGTTCTAGTTATATCTTCAATAAGATATCCAGAGTTTGTGCGAACAGATGTTTTATGCTACAAAGTTGGAGCGCCCAAAAAGGCGTCTCATTTGTGCTTTGGTTGGGTGAGACAATTGGTAACAAGTTACCTATGAGGAATGTAAAACATTGAATTCAACAACATAAAATAAATGGCAAAGCTTCAACACATAGATAACAAGTGCAAGGAAGCACCCCACTTGTTTTCATTGTTCGAGTCTTCGTCACATCTTCTGCAACTCATGTAAGTAAACAAAAGCCCCGACCTTTCATCTATTGCCCATTCAACCAAATTCCGACACTTGCAACAAGCTTCGAGTTTGATCCAGGGCCTTCAAGTTCCATTGACAAAGATTATATAGTACAAACAGATGATCCATTGAGAAAAACTCTTTATAATTCTATCCAAATTGCACTTTCAAGAACTACGTACTTTGCAAAATATGACATTCACATGGATTCTTTTCATACTTGATTTCCGTATCTGATTTATGTAAACAAATTATAGCAGAAACAATTTATAAATATGCCAATGCCATCAATTCAGTTTCGGTATCAGATTCACCCTAACAAAACTTGTACATTCATACAAAAAGAGGTGAATTACAAGATTTCTTCTGCCTAAGAGGTAAATGATAAGCAGTTTAGTTAAAAATGGTACCAACTAACCTCTTAACCTCAAAAGAAGAGAACAGTCCACCGAATACAGAAACCAATTGCCACAATACACAACAACTATCTCAATTTTTGTGTAAACATTTTAGGATTTTCTCATAAATGCGATACAATAAGAGAGTATAACTACAAACCTTATACCTGGTTCTTACAACATCAACTTTTGTACAGTTTGGGTCGGAGAGCGGGAGTCTGAGTATGAAGTACTGCCACAGCAATTGAATAAGACTGCAGAGTTGACAGAATTGGTTGGAAGTGAACAAAATGCAAGTCGTCATGGATATTCACTATTTTCATGGTAGGTACATCCTGATCGGAACCCTGCAAATTAGAAGTTGGGCAAGGTTATCTTAATGATTCATCGAATAAATGCAAGATTATTTATAGAAGTTCAAAAATAATTAAACACTCGAAATGAGCGGAAGGAGCTAAATGCACCTCTGTGAATAGATCAAATGACTTGCACTCCCCTTGCATATCTGCAGGGAGTGCGTCCTCATTTTTACTTGGCCTAGTGTGGAGTACTGTGAGTGGACATCCAATATCCCAGCCACCACAGTCACAGCATCCACCGGATCTCCATCTTTCAATGAGACCAGAAGGGCCACCATTTCTTGTTCTTGGGCCACCATGAAAACCTGCTGGGACTAGAATGTCCACACTTGTAGAGCAGTCACCAGTGTTTCGAAGACAACATTCAGACGGCACCGAGGCTGCCAGAGATGCACTGGCTTGCCTAATCCCAACTTTCTTAAGAAATTTGAGGCCCCATCCTCCACTACCCGCCTTCTGGCGATTTTCACGAATATGGTCTTTCACAACGATGGCAGCCAACTCAAGATTTGGTGGAGGAAGAATTTCCGAAAGATTGGATGTGCCGACTGTATCAAAATTGATCTGCAAATCTTGGCTTGGCTTCCTAGAAGAATTTTCAAGTATAGTACTCGTTCCTCCAAATTTGGAGGAGCTTCTTTTCTTAGTTGAGTGCCTTGTCTTGAATACTTCCCCCATCTTCTTCGAGAATCCTTTGTTCTTCCTAAGGATATGACATGAAGTTTGCATCTCTTCCAAACAGTTGTCATTGGAACCATACAAAACAAACTCAGTTTCCATCATTTCTGAATTGTTTGGGCAGAGTGTAAAAGAAGTAGATACTCTCATCTTACCAACAAGATCTGACTCATTCTCACGAGCACCATGTTCCTTCTTTTTATCTGCTCTTGAGTGAAACGTATATATATAATCAACAACCTTATCATCTGGTGATGCTGCCTTGAACAGGTTGGCTACATAAACCTCCCTCTGATCATCTACAGAGAAAACATAGTGAGGAAACCCATCCTTCCATGTGCACTGGAGCATTCCCTGACTTGTAGCAGGAGACCCTGATGAAGAAGATTGGTCTGACCAGGTAGAATTCATGCTTGATACAGAAACAAACCTCTTATGTACAGGCTTGGATCCATGTTTATGATTTCCTAGATCGACGGTCTCCTTATCTAGCTTCTTTGATGAACTCATATTCAACCCACAGGGAGAGTTCATAAAATCAGAATGTATTGCTTTCTTAACATCAATTAAATTTCCTCTTCCAAATTTGATATCACTATCCAAGGCACCAAATTGACGAAATAATGGGCTTTCCAATATGTTCATCATACTCTTGCTCCCGGTGATTTTACCAACAAACCAATCTCCCACAGGGCTTATGACTGCATTTCCGGTCCCAGCTTCCAATGGACACTGAATAATAATCTTACCCAAATCACATGCATGTCTACTAGTTTTCGGTGAACTCCAACTGTTAAACAAATCACCCTTCTTTGAGGAGCCTAAACTTGCAGATATGTTGAATGAGGTTGCTTTAGATGCACTGATATATATCAATTCCAGGCAACGTCTTAGAAATTTTTCATCAAGACTCACAATATGCTTCGGAATCCTATTGTCTAAGCTGAAAATTTTCTGAGGGAATGAATCCTCAATGCAACTTTCACTAGTTTTTGATTGCATAACACTTAACATCAGCACATTTTCTGACTTTACACTTTTTCCCAAGGTTTTGGACCGATTATTGTTGCCCGCTACTTCTATATCCTCGCTCAAGCTCAGTAAGTCTTCTTTCCTTTTGCCATCTTTCTCTTCATTGACAATTGCCTTTTCCATCTCTGCCCTCAACAAAGCTAAAAATATTAACGACAGATTAATGTACTTCCTATCCTCTGCATCTGATATTAATCCACTTCGTGGCCGACTACAAAATATCGACCTCTGTATATCTCAGCTAATTCTGACAGTAATCTGAAAACAAGTGAAGAGAATAGTTAACATCAATACATATGAAACGGATTAAATATGAAGGCAAAAAAAAAGGCTAAGGTAAAAAATTTCACAAAAGAGTCTCAAAAAAATTGCAATTCCTAAGAAGAATAAAAGTAATTTAACATGATTTAACAGAAGCTTGCCTTCTAAAGGTAAAATGATCACCCAACTAGTTGCTCTTTTTGGTTCCATCATTCAACGGATTGGAGGTTAATATCCATATATAATAACATGAACATCAAAAACAACAGGCAACATAAACAGGAGTACGCGTCAAGAAAAAAAAGTAACAAACATGCTAAATTGATCTTCTGCATATGATTCTTAACTTTATAGAAGTAATGATCACAATAATGTTCGTTTGTGATGATTTCACACACATACACACACATAAAAGAAGTTACAGGTATATAGAAGCAATAATAGATAAGGGTAAAGGCATACCCACCTGAAAAAAGTAAAACATACACCAAAAAATTGATATTTCTAATTCAATGGAACTCCAAAAAGTGAAATTTACACCAAGAAGATAGATTAAAAACCCGCATATTGATTTAAATAGTTTGGTTATGAAGCTCAAATTGGTAAAAAGGGAAGCTTCCAATCTTTTGTGATCACTTGTGATGATATGACCATAAAAGGCAATAAGAGGTAAATAGAGGCCAAAAGTAATTGATCCCTAGGCAACAGAACAATTAATCAGAAAAATATTATGCTAAGATTGCAAAATTTTGCATAAAACTCACAAGTTAATACAGAAATTTCCAGCTCTACATATATAAATTAAAAATATAATAACAAGTTAATATTGAGGGTTTTACCAAGGAATTTTCTAACTAAAAATAAAAGACACACATACCATAAACAAAAAAATTGATCAAAAAACCAAAAACTTATAAAACATATAATTTCCCAACACACAGAGAGAGGAAACATATATATACAAACCAAAACAAAAAATCATTTTTTTTCAGAAACACACAGAGAAAACATATCAAGGAAACACATGTTCATACAAGTCAATCCCCCTCTGCTTATTAAAAGAAAATTAAACAAATACCAAAAGCAAATCAAGTATGGATTGCAATAAATCAACAAAGTACACATTTAAATATATTTACAAACAAACACTCAACAAAAGTTGCAAACTTTACATATGTGTGTGTTTTGTATGTGTGTGTGTGTGTGTATATATATATATAAACTTTTACTCACCTCAAAATTGGATCCAAAGAACCAAAACACACCAACCCAGTACTCAAAACAAGCTCTTCACTTCAACTGTTGATGAGAAAGAACAGATACACAATAAAGCTAACACTTTTTTATCACTAATTTTGAGCTTAACCCAATAAATTAATGGTAGATAAGAAGCAAGATTGAGAGAAATATCGAGGCTTGTAAAGTCAATAGTGAAGAAATGAGAAAAGGAAAAGAGAAGAGGGCTCTACCAACTTGCACATGGAAGGGAATAAGCGCCACCACTACCGATAGAACTGCTACAGAGACTTTTAGAGAGAGAAACAAAAAATATTTTTTGGAATGTAGAGAGAGAGAGAGAGGAACTAACTGAAAATGGTCAAATGGGCAGGGGTAATGCTGTTGAAATGAGATCGTAAGCCACGTTCGTTGAAAATTATGTATGCATTTGAACGCGAAACCAGTGGGTAGGACCCAACTTTGTTCTAAATTTTGTGCATTTTCATCGTCCAATCAAACCCTAACCGTGTCTTGGACAAGAGATAGATATGGAAACATTTTCTAGAGAGAGAAAGTAATGTGTGTGAGCTGGTGCGCACGATAGATACCGGACTATCTCCACTTAGGCCACCATGAAAAAAACATCGAAATGGACATGGTGGACCCCTGATTCCTTACCTGCGATTTATCTTGGGCACGTGATACCTATAATATATGTGACCCCTGTATATATATATGTGTATGTATTGAGAGGGGTATGTTTGTTCTGAGCATTTTATATTGTACCACTGTCCCTTCTTTCTTTTTCTTTTCCCTCTGAGGTTTCGTTTAAAATATTTTTTTAACAATGGCCATGGTGGGTTTAAATGTCATATTTGTTTTTGATTGTTTAATTTAATAAATTTATAAAATATAACCTCTATTAATTGACAAACTACCATCATTATTAAACTTCTTTTTCTACTCTAATTTTTAACTTTTTTTATTCATTTTAATACCTAACCGCCGACACTCTCTCTCTTTTCGATCTTTGACAGGGCTGCTTTTTTTTTTTTTTTTTGGTGGTGGGTCTGAAATTTTTTTTTTCTACTCTGGTGGTGGTTTTTTTTTGTGTGATTTGGGCGGGAACGGATCTAGGAATTCATACGAGGGAAGGTGAATTTATATATAGGGTTTTTTTATAATTTTAGTAGGGCAATTTCAAATTTTTATTTGTATAATTGCAAAAAAGTATAAATTTAAGGGTATAAAATGCAATAATAAAAAATTTCAGACTGAACCCTTCACAAATCCGTCCCTGGGTTTGGGTGTGGTTGTGCTTTTTATGATAGTGTCTAGGTTATCATAATGTTTCAAAATTTTTATTTTTATTTTTTCTATTGTGGTGGTGGTTCTGGTAGTATCTTGGTGCCATGGTTATTTTCAATATATATATATATATATATTTCTACTATGGTGTTTAGGTGTGGTGATGTACACTTATTTGGCAATTTAAAAAAATTAATTTTTATTTTTATTTTCATGTTGTGTGGTTATGGTAGCATAAGTATAATTATATATAAACTATATTTATATGTATAGAAGACATGAAGATGTTAGTTTTATCTATTAAATTTAGTTAGAAGGTTAAATTTATAATTTTATGATTTAAATAGAGTTGTTGACAAGTCAAAAAGGTTAAAATGTAATTTTATATGATTTTAGAGGTCTAAAGGGATGTCAATGCACATTTTTTAAACCTTAGGGGGTGTCAATGTAAAAAAAGTCATTAACTGTTCGCTGAGTATCATTTACCAAAACATCAAAAAGTGTCAATGCAATTTACCATTTTTCTTTATAGTCTAACGCACCATCACTTAGTAAATACGGACACTTTTAGGATAGTGACAATTAAGATACGTGTCAGATGTCGATATTCTTCAAATAGTTGTTAATACGTATTCTAAACTTTTTAAACGTATCTATAGTTTAAAATATATTTTAAAATTCTAATACATATCAGATATTTTCAAATACTTCTTAGGTGTTTCCTAAGTTCGTAACACACTTTTAACAAGGTTTGAACATTTAAATGTCACTTTTATAACCCATAATAACATAGTATTAAATAATAAATAGGAATGCTTGTTTTATGTGTTATGAGATGAACTCTTGTGTTACATGAATGATTGAATTTATATATATATATATATATATATATATATATATATATATATATATATATATATATATATTGTATATACAAAATATATTAGTATTAGTATTATTTTACCGAGATTGTACTTGTAATTTTTTTTTTTTTCAATTTGTTGTAGTTGTGTTTGTATCCTATCGTATTTGTAACGTATATGCATATCAGTGCTTCCTATATCTTCACTAAATGTGATCTCTATATTTCATTTCTTTTCGTTAACCTGACATTTGTCAATGAATCGGGTTTAGACGGGATTCAAATTATCTCGATTCCAATTTGATAAAGAAAATATTCGTTTCAAATTATAATAATTTACTATTTATTATCAAATTTATATTTAATTTTTTAGCTTATCCAATGTTTGATCTAATAGCCTCGTACGTTAAATTTTTTTTTTTTTTGGTTAAAAAATACAAAATATATATTTTAAAAAAGTAAAAGAAAGGGATAGAATGGCCAAATGATATGAAAAAAAAAAACAGAGAGTGAAGAAATAAGATATTTGATTTTTAGTTAAAGAAAAAAATAAAGAGTGAAAAAATTAATAATTGTAGGAAGAAAATAATTAAAAAATGAAGAAAAACTTATATAATTAAGAATTCAAATACTATAAATGATAAAGCATTATCACTGTGTAAACAACATTTTTGATTAATTACTTCATCATCTGCATATCAACTGAATGATAGATAATAGATGTATAACATATTATATATTATATTTGTACGAATCATATTATTAAGGTATCAAATTGATCATAATTCATATCAGGTTTATTAATTTAACAAATAATAAAATTTTGATTATTAATGATAAATAGTATATAATATATAATATATTTTTATTATATTTATTATGATTGAATTATTAGCGGATCACATTAATTATAATTCATATTTAATTTATTAATGACTAATGAGTAACGCTTTCACGAAAACACTCTCTTGAAGAGAGCTATCAGCTCTCTATATTTTACCGTTAGATTAAATTAATTTTTTAAATTAATATTTAGTAAATCTTTCATTTCATTGGTTAAAATGAGATTAATGCTATAAAAACCAATTGGTTTTTGTAGCGACTCCAACAAATAAAGTCCAACAAGTTATTTTATCAACAAATGTTTTGTTGTAGAGTATTTTGATTAGTAATCAAAAACATGTTTGGTAACGTTTATTTGTTGTAAGATTTTTAGAAGTAAAAATATGAAAACATATTTAGTAAAAAAATGTTGCAAGTTTAAAAATTATAATGATTAGTTTAAAAATATCATTTCTACATTATCGAAACACGTAAAAATACCAAATTAGTCTTTCGATTTAACCACACTATTCACGAAACGTTTCAATACTGTGCAAAATAAAATAATATATTTTACCAAATGATATGGTTCACTGCTCTATTACTTGGCAAAAACAAAAACATAACCCGTACTAAACATGCCCTAATTCTCCCGTAAGATTGGTTGTATAGTCGCTGAGAAACCGTTGTCAATTATATCATTTTTTTTAAAATAGAAAACTTAAAATAAATAAATTCTCTTAACAGCATTACTCTTTATTAATTTAAATTCAAAAATTTAACAAATTATCAAATTAAATATTCATTTCATATTCAAATTCACCCATCCACAGACTAACACACCACCAAAAAAACAACATTGAAATGGACATGGTGGACCCTGATTCCTTACCCACTATATTTATCTTGAGCACGTGACACCTATATATATATATATAATATATTGAGACGAATTAGGGATGCTGGTATGCATGTTGGGAGCATTTTGTGTGGTCACATATCATTCTCTCCCTCACACTTATTTATTCATTCTGCGTGCGGCCTATAAAGTAATTTTACTAGCCACCGGTTTTGGGACGAGAATGTCATCATTTTTATTTATTTATTTTTTATTTTTGAAAGGGAGTTGTATATTTATACACAACTTTATCAATGTAATTAGGGCTGACAATTTCACCTACTCTTGGGAATACTCGTCCCATTCTATCCCGTTTTGTTTATTTGGGTAAGAATAGTTTGATGCAATAAAAATTCGCGCGGATTTAGTGTGGGGCCCGCCCCGTCCCGTTTAGATAAACAACTTACTTAAGTACCTTTATTTCATTCGTATATATATTTTTCACTATATATTAAGTATCTTATATAACAATATTAAAGTAACAAAGAATTTTATTAAAGAAAAGTTACAATGGTGAAAAATTGAAGATGAGGAAAAAAAAAAAAAAAGAGCAAATTCATTTCTAACAATAATTAAATTATGGTATTAAACAGGACGGGGTGGATACTCACGGGGGTAAAAATGTTAAATGATTACGGGGATGAGGTAAAAAGTTCTCCCATTTTCGCGCTTTTGGGCGAAAACGGGGACAGAGTTTTTAAATAGTTGCGGGAGTGGAGGAGGGTACGCCTATCTAAACCCGCCCCATTGCCACCCCTAAATGTTATATTCTTATTTAATATCAATACTACTCAACCGACTTGTTTATATGTATTCATTGTTTCAAAATAAATTCTTTTTGATATGTATTCAGTGATTCTCAAATGATATTCCAAGACACATTTTTGACTAGTCTATTAATAACATTGTAATATAATTGTCAAAAAAAACAAAGATAAAAATGGTTCTAAATTTTTAATAATTTACTCTCCCTGTCTTATGTTTGTTATCTATTTTTGGGTTTAGAACTTTTAAAAAAGACATGTCATTAATGTATTGTCCTTTTTTAAAATACTAAATTATCTTTTTAATTTTAAATATATACTATATGTGACCGGATGTGTGTGGGCGGGTACGAGACACTGACTTGTTATCACATGAGCTAGTTACATGTACACAATCTCACATCGTTTAGTATGAAAAAGATAAATATTATATATAGATTCAATACTCTTTTATGACATAACACATTTTAAAATTAATAGTTATGTAAGTACGCTTAGCTTGAATTAGTATCAAATCTGCTGAGAAGTCTCTTATCTGGTTAATAGAATGAGGGTGATTGATTACATTATATAATAGAGAGCCGTAACTAAAAGTTATAATCCAAGGTCTTGTAAATGGAGAGGATCCACTTTCCTTCAAGATCAGTGTGGACATTGCATCTCTTTACCGTAACACTTTCTGAATTCTACCTCCCACAACGATCTTGGTA